TTACCATAAAAAGGAAGATAAAATTGAAAATTATTAATTATTATACAAAAATATGTATCAATAAGTAATAACTGTATCTTTCACAGCAATGAAGTCGGACGCTATCCGTCTTCTCTACTGTGGAATGTTCAAATAAAATCGTTGTAGTAATAATTATTTACAAATATTTACAATTTATTTATTCATATAATACATATTTAATAGATATTTTACTTTTGCGAACATTTATATTGGGAATACTTTGATTTTATAAGTAATTACGATAAATGTATATATTCTAATTATTAAAATCGCGATGTGCAAGAAGTCCTATTCTGATCTAATGCATAAAAAAAAACCTGAAAAAATGTTACTACTCATGGGTACAAAAGTACCCGCGGTCACTATGCTCGTTAAAAATTCTACGTATACAACCAGCACCCGTGCCGATTTGGACCTTTCGTCCTACGACATGATTGAGTGACCGGAGGAACATAATGCATGCGACTCACCGAATAGATGTGAAAAACGTTGTCACCGATGCTGCACTGGAGCAGGGAAAGTTGTCGTAAAGACGCTCATCAAGTAGATATCATTGAATGCCGTGATGGAAGCGAACACCGTGAAAAATTTCTTAAAAAACATAAAATATTTTGTTTTTAAAGATACAATGTTATTTGCAAAAATTTTAATTTTAATAATGATAAAAATTGAGACTAATAATTTGAAGTACGTTTATTTTATAATTATAATTTTACATTCAACTTCAATAGAAAGAGGACAATAGAGAATAAAATTTAAATACAATATGCTAAAGTACTTACATTTTTAGCTTTCGAAGCATCATAAGATTTTTGAAGGATTAGGAGAAGTGGAGACTGTAGAAGATCTGTAACAAAATATTAAACATTAGAATTTGTATTTAAAAGCAAAGCAAAATCTTAAATTGGAGATAATGAAAGATTCTTACATTCTTGGCTTTCGAACCATCTTGGATTTTCCCCAATAAATGCAAAAAGTTGATACTGTGAAGCGTCTGTAACAACAAACATCAAACATTATACACTTTGTTGTTAAATTTAAAAAAATTGAATAAATTGAGATACAATATATAAAACTACTTACGATCTTGATCTGCTGGAGAGGCCTTATCTACTTGAGCACTGACTCTAATACCGAAAAACGAATATTGAATAAGAAAAAAAAAAAAATAAAAGACTATCAATGCGAGCGTTTAAGTGACAATCGGCGGACTCACTGACTCTAATTTCGCAAATTATATGTGTGAATGAATTGATTATTTAATTTAATGAGAGCCATTTTGCTCAGAAAAATATAAAAATATTTCGCAACGAACACTGACTCTACCAACCGCATTGCGCGCGGTCACAAATATTTTCTGAAAATAAAAACTAAAAAATAAATTTATTTAAAAAATCATAGAAGCGTGAAATCTTGCACTGAATCGTTCAATTGCGCGTAAACGTTCGGAAAAAGTATATTGTAGCAAAGTATAGTATAATAAAGTATGAAAACTTTGAATTTAATAATCTAATACAAGAATATACATCCATATACGAAACAAAATATCTCCAAATTCGAAATAAAATATTATTTGATTTAATTTTTTCCATTTTCATTCTTGTATCCCATATAATTACAAAATTGTATTTCAAATATATATATATATAAATTATATAGCAAAATTATTTAGAATACATAAAATGTTACCAATTTTCTGTGGAAGTTCATCAGATAGTTCATTAATGATCATGGCGTCTCTGCACTCCATGTTATCTTTGCAATCAAGGAATAACTGCACAAAAAAAAAGCAGAAAGTTAGAACAAACATATAAAATGAAGGCAAATATATAAAAGTGACATATTATATTTTTACTTGAGAATTTCTGGATGATATTTCTTTCTGAGCGATTCTTCTGAATAACATTTTCTTCTTTACAAATGAGGCGTGCTCCTCTCCGCCATGCTTCCCGCTTAAAAATCGATCATGAGAAATATCGATTATTTCGAGAATCGTAGGAAGTATATTACGTATTTTACCGTTGAGGCGCTGTAATCGCGCGTTTCGTACGAAATGACAGCTTCGAATAAAAAATAAAAAACTTTGATCTAAATCAAGTACACGAAATTTATGGAACATTCTTAAAAAAGAACGAAAATATTCATAGACTAGATAAAAAACTATCAATTTTAAACTGTTAATAATAATTTCATAAAAAAAAATTATAAAATAACAATTAACTTGGTTTTATTTAAAGTCTTCATTTCAACAATCCTGAGTTTGTTTCGTTCAAAAATATTTATTTTTACATCATGCAGCAAGTGTAAAAGTAAGAATGTATTTCTTCTTGAAAATTTAAACATCTCGATGAAGAGAAATTTTTCCATCACTGAACAATTCTTTTCCATGATCAGATATTGAAAATTGAAATTTTCCATTTACAATGAGCTGTTAAAATTTAAACTCAAATAAACATTCTAAAATGTATTATTATAGGCGTAATCTTTATTTAACGATATATAAAATGCATCAAATAATATATTCTTGGAATAATCATACTGATATTTGAAATAAATTATTTATTATTCTTCGGTGAAAAAGAATTCTCATTTAATGGTAGTACGTCTGATTATTGAAGAAATTTATTTTAATATGAAAGTTAAGTATTGATGAAATACTTTGAAACTAAAAGTCATCTGCAAACGATTCATATCAAAATTAATAACGATATTAAATAATTATAAGAACAATATAGAATTTATATTTTATGATTTTAAATTTAGTGCAAATTTACAAAATTAATAAATATTAATATTAAATAGTTATTCCGTATCTATGACAAAATTTTCGACTTCTATACTTATAATAATAATATAATAAATTTTCTAACAACGGATTATATTATTTGTATTCATACATAACTGTATCACGTATTATTAAAATTGAAAGCATATACGTAGTTGCATGCATGCTTGTATTATAACCTTAAAATGCCAAAAAATATAACCTTAAATATGTGCCAGAATTTTCGTATTAAACTCGATTTCAAATACTATAATGATGTGCGCCGTTTTTGTTGGATTTTTATCGATTGCTCAAAGATGTTACAAATTGATGATATAAAAGAACATATTAAAAAACTGTTCGGTATCAATGATCCGTTTGACTTGTTCTTAAATGAAAATGAATATCTACCACCTAAAGAAAACATACAAGTTCTAAAAGAGAATGAAATTATTTTGTAAGAATTCTTGCAACAAAAATGTTAAACTATTGTATTGTTTCAATTAATATGTTTCAGAGTTTCTCCCGGATCTCACTTAAACAATAATCAATTTAACAATTTACCTTTAAGTATTGAATTTTCATCGATAGATGCAAACAAACAGGAACTAGAAGGTAATTTTGCATATCCAGAACAAATTGAAGAATTAATTTCACAATCAGGTAAGAATTCATCTCAACATGAACAGTCGTCAATTAATTTTCCTGCAGTATTATCAAGCCAACAGGATTTATCAACTGACACAACAAATAACTTTCAGAATGGTGAAGAAAGTAAGAAAAACGAAGTATAATTGAATTATATATTTGATGCTACCATGTCTTTTATTCCTTATAACAAAATTGTATTTTTTAGTGTATGATATTACAAATACAGAAATTCTCAACACATTTCCAAAAAGAAAACGTGTAAGGCATCGAAAGAAAAAGACAAAAGTTGATACGCAATTAATGGAAGAAGACAAACCTGCAAAACCCAAGATTATAAATTCTACTGTATCCAATATTTCTTCTTGCAAACATATTCGTTTTGATAATGTAGATAACAAAATTATTGTAAATGACCAATTTATATGTTCAGCACCGTCAAATCGGATTGATGCTAATCACAAACTTCAAAATTTATTATCATTGGGTAAAAATGCCATTCCACTTATTTTTGAACACAATAGGATAAAGGATATGACATGTAAAAAAGAGAAAGAGGAAAAATATAACCCTGAGGACACTGTAGCCAACATAGTCTCCAAAAATATTAATGGAAATACAATTTCAACTGAGAGATTGGAAGAAATAAACAAGTTCTTGGATATCGATTTTGAAACGTATGAAGTTATGATAGTGAAACCAAAAATTAAAGATATTATAGCGTTCAAGGTAATTTTTTGAAATGTTAATCATTATTATGGTTTTATATAAAATTCATTTTTAGATGCTCAAAATTGGAACAGATTATACACCACAAATGTCAGATTTTATTGTAGCAGAAGTTATATTTTACTATTCAGAAAAATCATTATATAAACTCAAAATATTGCGTATGTGATTTTATATAATTAATGCACATCTATTTGTTTTTTCATTAATGATGTAATGTTTCTGTATGCAGAAGGTTTGTCAGAAGTACAGGTGCCAGTTGGAAAATTTACTATTATGGAAGAGACAGAAGAACGTGTGTTGAATGATATAATTACATTACATCATGCACAAATAGTAAAACCTAGACTTGTATCTAATTCAGATAAAGACATTAGTCCCTTTAATTAAATATTGCTTATATAATTAATAATTTTACGTATATTTTTATATATTTTAAATATAACGTCTGTCAAAAAAATTAAATATATCGATGGCAATGAGTAATAATGATATTGATATAAATAACAGCATTTATAAGAATTACCTTTTCCTTGATGTTTAGAACAGGATTGATGTGAGCATTAATCGTAGAGATTATGCAGTAGTTATCATTATCGCGGATCAATTTCGTTAATTTTAATTAATCGAAATAATTAACATCAAATAACGAAGAAATTAGTAAATGTAACGTAATAATATCGACGTTACAATTTCATTGCATATGTTCATATGTGTGAACATCTATTTTGGAGTAAAGTTTCAGTACTATTTCACAAAATTTGTTATTAAATATTCTAACACCGATTTCGAAAAATAAAATGTTTCAATATTCTCTCTTTTTTATCCGTTTATTGACATATTTAGTCCATTTTTACAAACGCGTCCGTTTCGTTCAAAAAATTAAAGCAACTGCGCGCGCAGATGCGTTAGCTGAAATCATTGTCTCTAATTTTATTCTGATTGGTTAAAGCAAATTTGTTCTACCAATGAAATTTGAATATGAATCAGCTGAGCAGCCTTAGAATTTCGCGCGTATTTATTATTCATTATGAAAATACACATATCTATGTAGAATATTATTTTATATTAAAAAATAATATATCGCGTAATTATAAGAGAAAATATACAAATTGCTTATTATAAATTAATTGATAAAATTGAATTAAACAAATTTCTTAATAAAATTCAACCTGGAAAATGTTAAATGCTCTGATTGGCTAATATGAATTCCCAATGAGATTTGAATATGAATTAGTTGAGCAGCTTTAAATTTTCGCGCGTATTCATTATTTTTTATGGAAACATATATCTATGTAGAATATTATTTTGTATTAAAAAATAATATATCGTGCAATTATAAGACAAATTACTCATTATAAATTAATAAAGAAGACAATCGATGAAATTGAATTAAACAAATTTTTTAATAATATTCTTTTGAAAATTTAATTGGAAAACTTTTTAAAATTTCAATTTAATTAATGGCTAACTAGTTTTCTAATGATTTTCATTAGCAATTAAATTCGCTTTAGCATTTTCGGCTCAGCAGATGGCTTCATCGCCGAATCATTCGTCCTTTGGTTACGAGTCTCTTCGTGGACGAAATATCTAGAATTAATTCCAGGATAGCAAGGAATGTGTTTGCATATACCAGAAAGCAGAGTAAATAGCTATATATCCCTTTCGGTTGCGCGATTAATAATCCACACCTAGAGAAAATTATATCGTTGTACGGAATTCTAGACTTAATATCCCTTTATTAACCGGCTTTGTTCTTTATAACTAAACGATTAGAAGCTCTAGCGAATAAACTTCTATAATTTATAGTGAAATTCCTAACCTTATCTCTATCTCTGTCTCTTCCTTTGTTTTTATCCTTTTTCCCCTACTAGTCATCTGGCAAATAAAACGATGAAAATTAACTCCGTAATTAAAATCCGTCGTTGTACGATTTTTCCCCCTCAATTTATTGAATTCATCACATTTTTAGCATTAAAATTTTTATTCAACCCTAATGTTTTAAAATTCAATAAAAATGGCGAAAAAATCGTACAGTTAGTTTTAAAAGCTCACTGTAGAGAGAGAAGATTTCAATTTTTGAAATCATGAATGATCTGACTATGAAAAAGAATTGTTCAATAATAGAGAAACTTCTCTTTGGCGTAACGTTTAAATTTTTACAATTTTTGATAAGAAAAGTATTGTTACTTGCTGCATGATGTAAAAATAAAGATCTTTAATCGAAACAAATTCAAGATTGTTTGGTTTTTTGTAAAGTGGAGATTTTACTCTTTAAAATAAAATCATATTAGTTATTCTACAATTTTTTTTTTTTTTCACAAAATTATAACAGCTTGAAGCATCAAGAATTGGCACAAGAATTAGAATTAGTGTACGAATATTTTCGAATTTTTCCTGAATTTTAGAAGTCTGTACAATTAATGTGCATAATATTTAAGTCTAGAAGATAATCATATACGTATACGAGTTCTATTACGCACAAATACATATATACGTATTTTGTTATATGTTTGTACCTCTATTTATTTTTATTAACTTCGCAATACGTAATTTTCAACAATTCTAAAATATTAAATTCAACAATAGTTTATCGAGAATACACATATTTAATAGTTAAAATAATAATTTTACTGCATAATATAATAGTTTTCATTTTTCAAGCAAAATAAGGCGTAGAAAGCCTTAAAGCTCGAAATCCAAAGTTAAAAGCAACATAAACACAACGCTTGCATATATATTTAAGACTCTTAATGTTACACCTGTTTATTCGCGCGATCCCCTATTACTTTACGTGTCGAGACAAATCATTCGGTTATCGAATTTCGAGACAGTAACACGTATTCGGTCGCATTAAGTTTGCAACTTTTTCTAACCTATCGATGGCAATTTTCTCAATTGCTTAAATGTTGAATGCGCTAAAATATCATTGATTTTTTTTAATATGTCGATATTTCAGAGCATGGGACATGCAAGTCCCATGAGATGCGAGATTTATTCATACATCTCCTCTGTGAATGGAGTTTCAACAGACGAAATGTTTTCGAGAAAACCGACTTCCTGTGGCAGTGCACAAGTCAATTTCGCCAAGTCAGCCAGCTAAGATCGTGTACGTGTTACTTTCTGAAATGTCAAACGTTTTACGAGCAAACTTTCCCTGTCACTTGTAACGAGGTGTTCGATTTCCTCAAGAATTCGCCAGGAAAATTACGAACAGCTAGGAGAGATGTAGACTAAGTTTACGGCTGACGAACACTCTGACAGAAGCTCGTAACTCTATCATGAAGAAGATGACTCGTGAAGCATGGCCGATTCTAACTCCTTAACGATCTTCTTCCTGTTAATAGCACGCGTCTCTGTCTTCAAGAATGGAGGGTGCTTTCCTCGATTTATCAGCGTCAGGTTGAGACATTGCCTTCATCGTCACACGCAAAGAAAATACGAATTGCTCCAATCGTCCTTGGATGTTCCTTAATCGTCTTAACTCTCACTCTTTTTCTCTTTCTCTCTTTTGCGAAATTGCGCCCCTCGCGAAGATTTTGCGAGCAAACACAGACTACACAGAGACGATTCGATCGTTTCTTATAACATCTCTCTTAATATGGATCTCTCATGTAAATTCGCCGAGTTCGCAACGAAACAGCCAATGTTCGATGGTGGTGCACGCGATGATTGCCATCTATATTCGTGAGTTGATACGTGGAGCTAACAGGAAGTCAGCCAGATTGGAGGCTTCCAGTTCGTCCGGGTAACCTTTCCTGGAAATTTCATTCCATTATCCTAGAGCATCCGCACGTCCTCGCGCGAGTGCCTTCATGCACGTAAGTGGATGATGTTTCAGGGTTATTACGGGTAGAAATGGTAATTCGTTTGAATTTTTAAAAAAGCTTTTGAAAAAAAGGATTGCATTTTGGCATTAGAAAGATGGAGGATGAACGACAGACAATGTTAGTGTAATAATCAGAATTTCTAAATTAAATTACAAAAGCAGAGCAAAAGTAGCATTTGATTTTTACAATTAGAGAATTGAATTAGAATTGATGATAAAATTTTTGACAGATCTGTATGAAATCATATAGTTTTATTTTAAATTAAATTAGAAAGTAAGTTAGAAAGGTAGTACTAAAATTTTTATAAAAGTCAGAAAAATAATGTGAAATATTGGCTAATCTTTATTAAGTCATATAGTTTCACTACGCTCATTTCTCGATTTACGCTGTATTTTTTGTCTGTGGTATTAATTCACTCGATCAGAAAATATATTTTTCTATAACTTTTATTGAATTTTCATTGAAGTAAATTTTAGTCTAGATCGATTATATTCGATTACAGTACCGATATCGACCAGGAATAAAATTTAAATTTTGGTCTTTTTGAATTTTCCGTTTGTGAAATTATTAATCTTTCTTTGACAGGAAAGAACGATACAGCATATAGAAAACATCAGTGTCCTATTTTGTAAGAAAGGAAAATGTAAGAAATGCGAAAAATCACTTATCAAACTAAAAGTAATTATTTTCGATAAAGAAAATATCTTTTATATTTCTGCGGTATTATTTATCATCGTAAGACGACAAAACTTTCTTAGTGTGAAATGAAAAGTGAAATATGTTAAATATATTTTTCTAACTTATATCGATTTATTTGTCTAATATCTTTTTCTTTTTTGTAATAATGGACTCTATAATCCGTGAACATGTATTCAAAAATTCACTTCGTAATATTTTTATTGCGAAACTCGAGTAAACATCATACTCGTAGTAGCATGACGATGATGTGTGATTACGTTACTTCTGCATTTCTAACAGTATAATCTCACGCCTCGTATGCATTGCATCATTAAATATATAATCCTGCCGACTGCGAAATCGCAATAGCACAGCGTCGCATAAAGTTGAAGATTGAATAAACTAGTATCCCTCCGGATACTAGTTCAGATTTTGATCCGAATTTTGAACTTTCTCTTGAACTTACTCGAAACAGATAAATATCAAAAATGGATCGATATAAATTTATAACGACAAAGATTCACGAAAGGTTCACGTCTGTGAACGAAAGGGGAGCAAAGTTAGAAAAACGGCATAAAGACGCCAGTAGGTACGTCATATATTGAAGCGAATATTGTTGAAAAATCGTTTCCGATATGATACAAATCGCGTCGTTTTCATGAACGATATTTATCCGTCAGCGTTTCTTGTTTCGATAAATAGCGAGGAAAAACACGGCATTCAACGGAGCTCAAGGTGTTCCGACGCTTCGATAGTTCCTTCTTTTTCTCGTTCGGTAGAAGTTTCTTTTTGGGAATGACCTTATTCCTCGAAAGGCATCCGATATTCGACGCGCAAAAATATCTCGGTCGAGCAAAATCAATAGGGACGCTGCGAGATCATCGTTAATAATAATTCACGACTTTGACTGTAAAAAAGTAATTAACAGATGGAAGCGTTTCCTAGCGATTGCAAGAGTTCGATATCGCGTTTACACAGTCTGGTGTTTGCACGGTTCTCTCGTTTCGTGGCAGTTTATTAAAGAGATATCTCGATCAACGCGCCATTCGTATTCCCGCACAGTCGTTCGTTCCGGAAACGGTATCTTTATTTATCGAGAAAGGAACAGCAAATTTATAACCGTACGATGCAATAACTGGATGGACGTTCGAAACGAATGTAACGTGAATTTGCATGAGAAACATGTTGATGAGAACAGAAGATGTTGCGACACGAGAACGCCATAAAGCGGATTTGTAGTAGTTCAGCTCGATATTGGACGCGACGTGTTGGATCGCCCCGGCAAAAATGCGTGGTGAAAAAAGGCGCCGTTGCTCGTATCGGTGTGCTACCCTCAGGC